AAATGAAACCTTGTCTGTCTCCTCGTTCTATGGAGATTTCTTCAGTGTAATTGTCTTCAATTTTTACGTAGTGTAAAGACACGTAGTTTAAATTTATTGTTTATGCATGCTTAGAGAAAATAAATATTATTGTTTACTTGGCAAATAGTAAGTTAAAACGATTTATTGGTAACGGACAATTCATAACGCCGTCAATTTATAACGGCAACACTTCTTAACAGTAAATTCGGAACGTCAAAATTGAACTATTCTGTTTATTTTTGTTAACGCGGGAACCAACTTTTATTACAGTTGCAATTGAAATTACGTTTATTTTTCGCCAATTTAACAAACTAGCATCAGTGTAAACCTTTTTAACACATTTAATATTTCGTGGAGAAATATATTTTAAAATAAATATAATCTACCTGTAACATGAAATACAATTGTAAGTTTGTCCCTTTTGATGTTTCTAAAATTTACATATTCAAGGTTTAAGTCGATGACCATATTTAGAAATTCTGTACTTATAAATCAGCATACTTTTAAAATTGTATATCTGGTTACGGGCTAAACAACATCAGATATGCAGAGGACACCATAGTATTTGCGGACAACTTGGAAGACCTACAAATTCTTATGAACAAAATCACGTATTACAGTCAACAATATGGACTTAATATAAACTTTAAGAAGACAAAACTTATGATAATTAGCAAGACAAGGATAACAGAGGGTCAACTCTATGTTAACCAATCTCCTGTAGAAAGGGTGACACAAACATCTACCTAGGCACCATAATAAATAAATAATTGACCAACAACCAGAAGATTAGAGCACGCACCGGAAAAGCTAGATCCTCCTTTAATCGGATGGGGCCTTCTTCAAGAGTTAACCTCTCTCTTGATATAAAAGTAAAAATGCTGCGATGGAAGAAGAAAGCTGGAAGCATTTGAGATGTGGCTATATCGGAGAATACTTAAGACCCGGTGGACTCTCCTTCAAGCCATCCTACAAGGAAAAATATTTGAAAAGCGAGGTCCGGGAAGAAGAAGAACATCTTGATGAAAGAACCTCAGAATCTGGTTCAATACAACATGTGTGTAGCTTTCCCGCGCTGCTGCAGATAAGATAAAGATTGGCATGATGATCGCCAACATTCGTAACGGATAGGCATATCAAGAAGAGGAAAAATATCTGGTTATACTTTTTCGTTGTTAGCAATTATTATAATAAAGACATAAGTAGTTTTTATTTGTTGCAATACTATTCTTACTGACTTAGTTTTACTACTTTAAGGTAATAATTCATGATAAAAATAAAAATAAAATTAGTTGTCATATTAACAAAAATATGTGCAAAAGTATGTGTGAAATATATTTTAAAAAGTGTCATCTTGGTGTAACGAATTGTACCGTTATAAAGTGACAAACTGTAGATGTTATGAAGTGCCGCTGTTACAAAATATCATAGCACCGTATTATACAACATCATTAGTTCTATTGGAAATAGCTTAGAATCGAAAACCTTCAGAAGGAGCTTTTTTTGCCATTTCTACCAAAAAAATCGCGTAGAAAACATTGCATCAATAAATTTCATAGTTGTTTTCTTCATTTAAGTTATCGGAAAATTTAATCTTTATTTAATTTTGATAAAATAATCAACAATAAAATCTATTATCCATTTTCCTTTTGCTAAAATATAAATTTAATAATAACAGCAAATATACAAAACTAAACAACGGAAATTAATATTATTTACGTCTTAATTCTTTGGATATTTACTTATTTTTATGGTTTGAAACAACACAGACAGAAATTTTGTACGAAATATTTACTAGGTAACACTATTTTCCAAATATAAAGAGACATATTATTATTATTTATTTTACACTGGGGACAACTGGACAAGGATCGTGGAATAATCGACAAATATATATTTAAAACAATAAATTGCTTGATACGTTTGGTCGAATCTACAAAGAATAGTATTTATTTCTTTTAACCTATAATAGTTTCTTTTAACCTGTATTTGACGATACTTTAATTTCGTACTTTATTTATCCCCATCACTAGGTATTGATATTATAGCTAGTGGTTTAGGACCATTATTCACTAAAAGCAAGATCAAATACTAATTAATTATACGAGGTTTGTTCCAAAGTATCCGATCTCCGTTCATAAGTTAGCGCCAAAATGCTCCACCGCCCTCTCTGTGGAACAAACGTAAGTACCCCAGTTATAACACCCAAGGAGATGTGTAGCTCACACTAACAGACTTTTGGTTATATCGTTTGCATTCGTCGCTTTTTGTTGTCCCTGAAAATGACGAACAGATGCGATCTATCAATTTGCATTAAGTTTTGTTTTAAACTCGAAAAAGATATGTGCAAACGATTCGAATGATGTAATAGCCTCTAGTGATAAATGTATAAGCTAAACACAGATACATGAATGGTTTAGCTTACAGTGACTCGCTTTGGTCAATTTTCCAGCAGAATAACACCCACAGATATCGAACGTGTGTAATTTTTTAATAGGTATGAGACTGGGAGTAAACCTAGGTGGTGTTAAGATATCTAACTTGCGTTTCGCAGACGACACTACACTTCTAGCCTCTACTCCAGAAGAAATTATTAAATTATTAAAAAAACTCGAGGTAGAAAGTGCTAAATTTGGACTCATGGTTAACTACAACAAAACCAAAATCATGGTTATAGATCGCCAACAACAGTTTCCTGAAACCCAAACTATTGCGGGATGCGAGGTAGTCTCATCTATGATATATCTTGGAGCTCTAGTTAACCACACAGGCAGTTGTGAATCCGACATTAGAAGACGCATTCAACTAGCAAGAGCAGCAATGAGTGAACTAAACGGGGTCTGGGGTGATCGTCACATTACTATGACAAACAAAACGAGACTCGTTTCAACTCTGGTCTTTTCCATATTTTACTATACATGCGAGACATGGACAGTCAAAGAATCAGATCGACGACGTATAGACGCCTTTGAAATGTGGACATGGAGACGCCTGCTTCGAATTCCATGGACGGCTCGCCGTACAAATATCTCGGTTCTGGATGAAATTAAACCGGATCAGCGTCTCTCCAGTACCGTTTACTCTAGAATTTTAAAATTCTTTGGCCATATCCATCGAAGTGATCACAAAATGGAGCGGTTGGTGGTCCAAGGAAGGCCTCAGACTCAATGCCAACGCGGAAGATCTCCACAGCGATGGGCGGACATTACTAAAAAGCTTCTCAATAAACAGTATACTGAGGCAATACATATAACTGATGACCGCGACCAGTGGAGAAATATTATCAATCAAACTGTCCGAGCTGCTGAAGCCCAATTACGAACCACAACACATCTACTAAGATGTTAATGACTGTGATGATGATGATGAGACTGTGCAATAAAATATTATCATTTGGCTTTGCATAAACTAGAAATTCATCATAGAATTTAAAAAATTGGTTTTTAGATATTTTAGAGAATAATAAAACCAAGAATTTAGGAATGACTTGCATTTGTGACAACTTTATTTCAAAATTTCGTTCGGAAAGTCACTCGAGACAATTAGGTAATGATCGCTAATGATGAAGAAAAAACATCATACCAGTGACGAGTTGTGGGTTTATTGTTATGGTCCCAAAACAAAAAAAACAGTCTTTAAAATGAAAGTGTCCATGCGTGTCACGATGTTTGAGCGAGCAGCAAATGGTCTTTTTATCTCAATAATGCACACACTCATGGATTTTTTACAACAGTTTTTGACAAAATAAAAGGTTACACAATTAACACTGTCTACGAATATCTCGGACATAGTTCACATGGAGAGAAATACACTTTGCTCCAACTGATTATGCAGGAAAAGATCCAAGGAAAGAGAAGCATAGGCAGGCGTAGAATGTCATGGCTGCGCAACCTAAGAGAGTGGTACCTATGTACATCGAATGAACTTTTCCGAGTAGCCGACTCAAAAATCCGAATAGCTATGATGATTGCCGACCCGCGCCGCGGAGATGGCACTTAAAGAAGAAGACGTCTACTCCAGCCATAGCAACCTGTAACTTTTTTTGTCTCCAAAACGAATGCAAGGATAGCACTAGAAGACATTACAAAAATTAAATTTTAGAGCTGTCATAGGGACTTCAGTACTTGGTACAGACCTCGTATAAGAAATACAATCTGTAGTCTTCAGAATCTAGATAACTTTGAATGTACACTTGATGTATAATTAAAATGTTTGCAATTCTTTTGTTTCGACCACGTGTATTAAACAGTTTTCATTTCGTTTTTTAACGAGTTATTGTAACGACTTTTCCAAAACCTTGTGAAAAATAAATAACTACTCAGAAATATATACAACTGGCTATTACTGGCCAAAAAATGATATGATAGGGAATGTACACAGGGCTTAAAACGTCGTCGGCACGAATGCCCCTAAAAAATATTGAAAAATCTAGCCCTCTCAGTCTCAACATATATCTAATTACAAATATACAAGTAATTAATCAATAAACTCAATAATGAATAATAATTAGGAAAAAGAACATTGCTTTGGTATCAGTTACAAAGAAAATACGTATCCCGTTAAGTGAATTTTATTTGGGGATAAACGTTTATATAATATATTAATACTATACATCTTTATGTCATAAAACAGGAAGAATATGCAATTATAATTTAGTCAAATTCGGTAGAAACTTTAACTTTACACTAAAATACCATTTGGTAAAATTGTACAAACAAATATTATACCACTAATCAATTGACGATTAACTTTAAACTGTCCAATTTCTTTTTACCGTCTTCTAATTCTTTAACAATAACTTTTTCCAGCTCTTTTTTGATCAGTGAGTAGTACAAATAATATGCAATTGTGGTAAACTTTCCCAAATGTTCATATTATACCATAATATTTAAATAATAAATCAATAAAAATAATAAAAATTTAACAAATATTCCGAAATTATCATTGCAATACTCTTCATTAACAGTTCTAGGTTAATTTTATTTTAGGTTGACTTTAACTAGTAGAAAATATCAACAAAAAATCAAATTAGGCCAGACGGAGGCAAAAATCACTGTTCACAACAACAATTCTTCTAAAGAGTTCATTAGGACTAGTACGTTAAACTGGGAGGTGGAGGGGGCAATCTCATCCCACCCCACGGAAAGAGTCATACAGCCTCTTTGGAGGTTATGCTCGTCGATGAATCCTCGTCTCCTGATAGCATAGGCATGGTGCCTAACAAATGACCCTTACCTTGATTGACTACACATTTTCTCATATGTTTTTCTAATGTTGAAGGAACCGAAAACGGCATTTCACAAAATCGACACCTATAAACGTCTTTACCGATTCTACCATGCGTTTTCATGTGACGTGTAAGCTTAGAACTCTGCGCGCAAGCGTAGGAACAAAGTTCACATTTATAAGGTTTCTCACCTGTGTGTGATCTTCTGTGTACCGTTAAATTTGAACAATTTTTAAAAACTTTTCCACAATATTCACAAGTATCGTTACGTCGTGATTCTTTTTTGATTAAAGGATTTGGAAGTAATGCACTGGGACCAGGTAGTCCTTTACTGTCCCTTGGTAAACTAGGTAACCACCAGTCATTTCTTTCTAATTCCATTTTCAGTCGCTTAGATGCATCAAATGTATCGTTAAATGGAGGAAAAAGAGGTAACGGTTGAGGAGGTGGTACTGGTAACAAACCTTTGGCAAACTCATCTTTGATTTTAAGGTGAGTTAGTAAACTTGTGTTATTGTTATCCCTGTCTTTATTAAACTGAAGTTTCAAGGCAGTACTAGATTCTTGTAAAGCTTGTTTATACGCTTCACTATATTGAGCTATATTACTCAAACCAAATTTGTCCATCAGTTCACCAACTAGTGAAGCTGATGGACTCGTTGGGTTTTTTGGAATTTGGCTAGGAACACTTAAATCTTCCGCTTCTTCTTCTTCCTCCATATCTTCCTCATCTTCTTCCTCGTCTTCCACTTCTTCATCCTCTTCGCTATCATCACCATCTAATGTCTCCACTGAACCAGCATTACTATTCCTATCATCTGGAGTTCGATGTATTTTCATGTGCTTTTTTAATTTAGAACTTTGCGCACAAGCATGATCACAAACTGTACATTTATATGGGAGTTCCCCTGTATGAGTTCTTTTATGAACTTCAAGGTTATTTTGGTAACGAAACTTTTTTCCACAGTAATCACAAGAATGAACATTATCTGCAGAATTTGAATTTTTAGGTGATCCTGGTTTTCCTGGTGGAGTACTGGCTGATCTGGGAGTATTTAAAATTTGGTCATCCGTCTTAGTCGGTGGAGAAACGCTAGGTGGTCTACTACTATTGCTACTCAAATTATTATTGTTGTGATTACTACTTGAACTGGTATTATTGGGAATAGAAGTTGGCGGCATTTGGGAAGGGGAGGGACTCGCAAAAGGCGGTGAGTGCTTGCGGGGTAACGGTGAGCCTGCCTGTGCCGTTCCCGGGCTGGTGGTGCCTGCCAATTGCCTCAACCGCTGCGAGTAAAAATCCAGCTGGGGTTCTAATGATAAAGGTTGATTTGGAGTTCCTCGGTCTCTAGACGGCATGTTATTAACGTTATTTCTTTCAGCCGGAGACGGAAAACTAGTATGTGGTGGTGGAGGAACATTTCCTGCCGCTACAGCTGCAGCAGCTGCTGCTAAATTAAGTCCGTGATGTCGAAACTGTTCACTTACTAACTGATCTATCCTGTAGTGATGATCGGGTCGGGAAAAAAGTGGAGCTGGAGGTACAGGACCATGGTTTAAAGGTGGTAACGGCAATCTTAGTAAACCACCAACTCCAAATGGGTTATGTAGATCGGGTGGAGGAAGCAAATGGTGTCTCATATTCGGTGGAGGCGGTGGTACTGCTCCTGCAGAACAGCCCGAACTAGAACTGCTGGAGCTGCTTCCGCTATGATTATTACTGTTACTAATCTTGGAACTTGTGGGTGAGCTTTCTACGTATATTTTAATTCCATGTGCGTGTTGTACATGTTGAACGAGCCTCCACGCTGAATGTAAGCGAGCTTTGCAAGTACTACAGACGTAATTACTGGGTTCTGAAAAAAAAATAAAATAAATTAATTAAATATTAAATATGCGGAAAACTAATAGAAAAATATTTTTTAAAAACTATCAAGAGCAGGTAATAATTATCTAAATCTACGGAAATATACAAGTAACTTGTCTAAATGATATGTAGATCAATAACGAAAATATCGATAGAACTATGACGCGCAACAATCTTGTTAGTATCATAAATAACAAATCGCACAATTTGTTAAAAATCAAATCGAAAATGTAGAAGTATACCTCTAGACTTTGCTTTGACTATATAACTGATATGGTGGTGTTGAAGTTATCACGGAGAAAAAATAGATTTAGTAGTAAAAAAAAATCTACAACTGCACATCTAAGTTAAAATATCTTGAAGTGATTAAAACAAAAAAAAATCTAGGAAACACAATACAATAAAAAGTATATAAAAGAGGTTTGATTATTCTAATCCGATTTAATACGATATTGCAAATGCAAGAAAAGGTCACAATACTATTTATCTCTTTAGTGTAATTTTAATTATACAACAAATGGAACAAATCGATGTTCTATGAACCATGTAATATTTTGTATACACATAGCATAAAAGTAATTCGAAGGACCAGTGACAATAGTCTCGGATTTACGGGTAGATGAACATTTCTACGAGGTCAAGACGACCTCCGACGGTAAAAGGAAGTGATATTATAATGATGATCTCTCTGCTCGTACAGCTTCTTTTCTTTCCCGAAATAAAACGGTGACCATTGTTCTCGAAGGATAATTTCACGAGTGATTCGCCTGCTAAACGCGGTATGCACTTAAAGCCGGACGTTGGAGGAAACGGAAAAAGCTCATATTTTATGTACGGATCTTGAAAATCAATAAGTTCTATTTTTTAAAACTATAAAGGAACCAATTAATACATAAATAAAGAAATTTATTTAGGTATGTATAAGTAGTTGGTCTGTTTTTTTGTCGTTTAAATTTCATATTCAAATATGATTTTAAAAACGCTTTCAGTATTTATGTACGTCATTCTGTTTGTTTATATAAAAACAAGCTACTGGTATTTATTTATCTAGTGGTTATTACAATTGAAAGTTATGAAGTTTTTTTTATACAAATACATTCTTAAATTTTTAATAATATTGGTTACATTGATTAATAATAATTAATGAGAGACTGAAAACATTCCTTCAAAGAGAAATTCCACAAGAGCAAACTGGATTTACCAAAGGTAGAGGCACTCGAGAACACCTGCTGAATATAAGACAGATAATCGAGAAATCTAGGGAATTCAACATCCCACTATACATCTGTTTTATAGATTACCGTAAAGCGTTCGACAGGGTCAAGTGGAGACACTTATGGCGAATACTAAAAGAAGTAGGCGTACCACAACATCTAATTACGCTTATAACCGAACTATATGAACACACTACTGGATCAGTTAAAGTACTTGACACACTTTCGAAGAATTTCATCCAGAACGGGGTGTCAGACAAGGATGTATACTATCTCCACAATTATTCAACATATATGGGGAGTATATTATGCGAAGAGCACTTGAAGGATGGGAAAAGGGCATCTCAATAAATGGTCATAAACTAAACAACCTACGTTTCGCAGATGACACAGCCCTTCTTGCAAATAGTCAAGCAGAGCTGATAGAACTTATACGACTGATCGAAAACGAAAGTCAAATATTTGGTCTGCAATTAAACATATCAAAGACAAAAATCATGATAGTGGATAGACTACACAACAATCATCCACACATAACCACAATTGACCGGTTCGAGGTTGTGAGCTCATACTTATATCTGGGATCATTAATCACAAACACAGGGTCATTACAAGTAGAGATTAAACGTAGATCTGATCTAGCAAAAGTTGCCACAGCAAAAATGACCAAAATATGGAAGGACTGTCAAATTTCAAGAGCGATAAAGATGAGGTTGATCAACTGCTTAATATTCCCAATACTGACCTACGGATGTGAATCTTGGACTCTGAGACAATCGGAGAGAAGAAAGATAGACGCCACTGAAATGTTCTGTTGAAAACGAATGTTACGAATTCCTTGGACCGACCGCAGAACAAATAATTCAATTTTAAGAGAGCTAAAAGTTAGCCAACGATTCTCTAGTAAAGTCCATTTCCAACAGTTAAAATATTTTGGGCATATTATGAGAGCAAACACAGAAAACATGGAAAGACTCATAATACAAGGAAAGGTAGAAGGCCGAAGATCACGAGGAAGATCCCCAACAAGATGGATAGATCAAATTACAGTAATATGCCAAAGACCTATGCATGAATTAAAAGAAATGACCAGAGACAGAGATCTCTGGAGACGGACAATACACGACATCACGTCGACCACTACACTCCCCCTGGGGGGTCAGGTTACATTTAATCCTTTTAATGAAGATTATTTTAAATAACACGAGATTCAAAGATTCTATAAGCGGGTAAGATGATTCGACAGTCCGAACGTAGATACGAAAAAACCACAAGATCAATGGATGGCATTTCGGATTTCCTTAGGTTAGCATATCATTTAACCTAAACTTAATATAGACAACTTAACAAACCTCGGTGAGACCAGCTGATTATGATTTTTAGAATGGGTTAATAAAAACCATGGAGCAGAAAAGATTGGAAGAAAAAAATATTGGGTAATATGAAATATGAACATTTTATTTGAATACTGGGCCAACGTTGAAAATGTTATTGATATTGCAGCTAACGAAGCACTAAGAACACCATTAGGAAAATGACAAAGCAAACATAAGAGAAAACCATGGTCAAAATATAAAGTGAATACAAAATCAATACTAAAAAGAAACGAGATGAACTTATTATAGAATAGAATAGAAGAGAAATCTAGATGACTATCTTTCTTTTAGATAGATAGGCTTTTGTTATTTTACCGAACTTGGGGATCGATGTTGCAGGTTCCAGTTGTAAAGGGAGATGGTTGTATAGTTTTTTTGCCGAATATAATATAGATTTCCTTACTGATTCAGTGGACGGGATCGGTAAATAAACATCAAATGTTAAATTACTGGTAGAGTGGTTATGATTAGGCCCTATGGGAAAAATGTGTAAATGTTTACAAAGTAAGTAAACAGTTAACATTCTGAGGCCAACAGAATACCGTAATGCTGTTTTTTGTAATTTGAAAATAACATCAGATTGGGCAGCTGTACTAAAACCCCAAAAAGGAAGACCATATCGAAGATGAGACCCTAACAAAGAAAAATATGTTATTTTGGAAGATGCTAAATTGATTTCCTTCAAAACAGATCTTATTGCATAGCAAGCTGGGGCTAGTTTCTACTTAACAAATCGATATGAAGGGACTATTTAAGATGGCTGTCTATAAAAATATCCATAATTTTTACAGAATAAACGATATTGATCTTTCCCTTATTAAGAAGCAAGAGTTAAAGAGCTTCTTTATAGGATAATGCTACTATCTGATCCACGTTAAATTAGAGTAATTAGAGTCAAAATAGGTTTTTGTTTGAGTGCATCAGAAGTTCGAGTTGCTTGCAATATCAGAGTGTCTTTAAGTGATATTGGTATCATCAGCAATACGAAAAATGTTTCCAAAGATTTTTAAAATTAGTAAAGTCATTTATAAAGATAAGAAAAGGTAGAAGACCCAATTCTAGGTCTGTGATTTACCCAATCAAAAGCTTTGGCATAGTCACAAAAAACAGTGGCAGTATAAAGATTATTGGTTAGTGCTTGGTAAACCTCACGTGGTGCAGAAAACATAGCATCACTGGTAAATTTATTAGATAAAAAGGCGAACTGATTTTGTGATAAAATGTTGCTTTCAACGAGAAAGGACATGTAAGTCTTTCAATACTTTTGAATAGTACCGACAGTAAGTAAATAGATCTATAGTTGCAGGCATTCAATTTTTCACCAACCTTATGAAGAGGAATAATAATGGCTGTCTTTAGACACTCTGAAAATATCTTTTTCAAAGGAATCATTAATTAGTGACACCTTCCAACACATTTTTTGGGAGATTTGAGAAAGTTTTTTTATCAGTACTACATAAAGATTTGCTTTTGATAGTATTAAGTGTTTGGATCAGTTCAGATTTATCAACTGGTCTTATAAAGAATAAATTCGAGATCTTTTGTAACTTAAGGAGATAGGAAATTGGATATTGTTGTAGCAAAATAGTTGATGTTATATTTTTACTCACATTAACGAAGTATTCATTTAGATTTTCAGGGTTTGGAAGGGAAAATGTTTGAGCTGTGTTAGTTTTATTTCGAATATCGATATGGATTAAGTTTCTTTTAGATCTTCCCAGACGACTTTGATAGTACGCTTTTTTATCTATTCCAATTCTGATAAGTTTAGATAGGTTTCTTTATGCTTGGTTATATATATTCAGTAATAGAGACATTGGTAGTACATTTCTTGATATTCGCTCCGTGCGTGATCATGGTAGGGGTACATTGAAACGATGCCAGCGTGCGTAGCGGCGAAATATGACAAAATTGGAATATTGGACAAAATATTTTTACGCATAAATTTTATCAAAAATGTATGCAAATACATGTTGCGTATTTAATTGTGCTACTAATAGCAAAAACAGTGAGTGTAGTTTTTATAGGTTCCCAAAGATTACATATAAATTAGAGAAAAGAAAAATATACACATAATTTCATTTTTATGCAATTGAAATAGGAAAAATTTAAATAATTTACCTTAAATGATATTTGATAAGGCTTCAAGCTAACTGCAGATGACTTTAGCTTTTATATCATAACTTTTACTATTATTGTTTTTAATTATGTGCTCTTTTGCGTGAAAAACTTGATTTGCCAGTACTAGATTTTTCCCTTTCTTTTCCTTTGGAGTTGAAAATATATATTATGATAAATTTTGAGAAACCAAGTTTTTAATACTACATTTATTTTGAACATAAACTGAAAAAATATAGTTAAAAATAGTATATTGCTTACCGGGTAGGAAAAGCTTAACA